CATAATACATTGGTATTACTAAATGACATTTAGCCATTTTCTTACCGATGACGTAGAAATGCTCCATTAGGATGGGAATCGTATCCACGTTCGCCTATGAGGTTCACTTGTAAATCTCCGTACCCTATTAGAAGCTGACCTGCTACTGAATAAACGCAATAATAGCTACACAGGCGCTCTTGTTTCGTTAGCGCCAACACCTGACGATCTGACCTACCACTCCGTCTGTATTAGTATAGTTCCAATGGTAGCAGATTATGTAGACATCTTTGCCAGTATTGCGTTCTTTCACATAAACCATTATTCTAGCAACCCCTGTCTTTCTTAACGTTACCACCATTATGAAAGGCCCAGCTACGTAATAGTTGGGCGCTATCAAAAATACACGACGTGTCAGTGCCTTCAAGTGCTGTTATTCCACGGATCTATGATATTCACATAACTAGGTATACAAAACAAAGCTAGCATAAATCGGTACATCGCTTCGTTAATGCCAGTTAGACGATACAAAGGCTCAACAACAGCGGTAGCTCTCTTGGCATAAATTCGGATTCTCTGTGTTTGCCATTTCTACCCCTAAATATTGAAGGAAATAAGCAAGAAAGTTGACAGAGTTTTCAAGCATCTGTATCTGAGTCGTTATGAACGTCTAAACGGACAGTAAGGTTCATCGTTTTGCGCCGTGGCTATTTGCGGCGTACTCAATTACTCATATATATATATATGTATATATATATATCGTTATCACCACAGAACGAACAAAACTGGTGGTAAAAACCAAAGGAACGAAGAACACAGTTAAGTTCCTACGCCTCGTTCGCGTTTTCTAGTCCTCATTTTGTTCCTGCGGTTGGTTCATTCATTCATACGTTGACCACCACCGCTATCGTTGTCTTTTCGACTAACGATTCCGGCTTCGTTCGGTTCTTTGAATCCACTGAGACTCAAGCTGCTTTACCGTCGCTGATCAAGAAGGTCTAAAATAAGATATAACAGTAGCTAAGCCTACGCCGTAGGTGAACGATCGGTAGTCCCGTTTATAATGCATGATACACAAACACATACAAAATCAAACACACATATATATATATATATATATATATGAGTTTCTACTCTCTTCGACAACTATTATATCAGCTACGAGGATCCTGGGGCATGATTAACTTTTGCCCATCGTCCATTAGTATTAGTAACTTAGTAATAAAAGGCTTCGTGTGTACGCAGTAAAACGATTTCGAGTTGTAAAAAATATAAGCTTAGGTACGTATTATTTCCAAATAGTCCCGCCTCACATGACAGCTTTAAAGGAATTATTTTCAATGCTAGCTTTTTATCAAAGCGATTTTCATAGAAGATCATGCTTGAATTGCCCTTAAAGACGCCAGACCTCGCTTCTAAGAGACTGCCGTGTTAGTGTAGGGCTTTAGTTAGCATGCCAACTCAACCTCCCTGGTCCTACTTCGATACTACTTCAAATTGAGTAATTTCTATCGAAGCTAAGCTTACTCACAGTGCGTTGGACGCCAGCGGATCTCACATACACTATCGAGGTGCAATGAAGAAGGCTTAATTCGAAAAGAGACAAAAATAGTTTGTTTGTGTAAGTAAGCTATTAAGCAGATCAGGCTTAGAATATACATCAATAAGAACTAAGCGGCGATTCAAATTTTCGAGATTTACTTTCAGCCGATGTGGCGAAGAGATGAATTTTTGGGTTTAGTTCCGAGAATACTACGAATATAGCTACTTCATCCCATTTAATTATTCAGTCTTCACTTGGACTTCCACGTTGGTCGTTTTTACCGTTTGCAATTAAACCAGAAGTAATCATCGGCTGAAGCATTACGACTGTCAGCAAATTTTATGTCAAGAAAACTCCATCGTCCCATATCTCGCAGCCAAAAAGCATGTGGCTAAGTCTAAGAATTGGATAATGATATAGACGAAAAACTCAGTATTTTAAAGAAATCATCGTGTGTTTGGAACCTCTTGTCCTGTTGCTCTACGCCGCATTTACTTCACTATGCCGCTAATCTAATTCTGCTCTGTATACCGAGCACTCGTTTTCAGTCCAGACCTTTCGAGGTGCGCCTTTCTGAACTCAAGCATTTATATTTCTCCTTTATTTCAACGAGCCTATTTCTAATTCCTACCAGAGATGTTTTTCGCTAAAATTGTATTGTAATAAGAACCGAATTGTGGTCTCTGATTTTATAGAAATTCCGCACTTATGCAGGTCTCCGCATATCAAAGACGACAGAATCAAAATTAGTCCTAAAAGAATAAAAAAATCAAAACAGTAACTAACGTGTTAGATTTAACGTTTCATGAATCTATTATTACTAATAAAAATAGTAATTGTTCTACTGTAAGGACCGCGTGCTACTTTCTATATGATTTACCAATATATACTTCATCGTGTAGTGAACCATGTATTACCACGGCATGAACGAACATTTGAGCCATTATGCACAGTTCAGGTATCTTGTATTGTTCCTTTCGTAGAAAGACATAGATATCGTGTCGAAATAAGTGGTTCTTAGACGAGCCAAAGCTCTTCGTTTAAGTTTGCTACACAAACACGCGTTTCAAGTGGACTAAACAATTCCAAAGTTGGGCAGTTGTAGACTGGGAAAGGGTCTGTTTTTCAGATAAATCGCATTTTGAGATTTCGGATAGTAACGCTCAACATGCCTACAGGCGTTCCAGCCAAAGTTTCCACGAATCCTGTGTAATCCAGCAAGTCAAACGTTAAAGTAGGATAATCTTGTGGACCGTGAACTTCTACTAACGGTGTGAGAGCCCACATTTTGTCAACGGAATTACGGAAAGGCGACAATACAGTGAAATAATTCAGATAAAAAATGCTGCCGTACGTGGAAAAATGGTGCTCCATATGAAAACCATGTGTTAATCAGTAATAAGTTGCCATGTCTTATCATACGGCAAAATGTGTCGCTAGGGTGTTTATCGCTAACGGTGTAGAGGCCCTGTCATGGCTATAAAATTTACTTGAATTCAAGCTTGAATCAAATTAAAAAAATGTCAAAGACTGAGTCAAGGACGGGTATGAAATCAGAAATATCTCACAATTCAAGAATCCAGAACTCGAACTGTGGACCCACGATTCGAACGTAAAAGAAATGGTACGGAACGGACTTGAAGCATGTCAAATCGAGTTGCGGTAGTGATCGCAGCCACAGTTGAGAAAACCAGTTACTAGCTTCCGCAAGTGTTTTTCCTTCCGTAGCACCAATGGCGTCACGTATGCTATCATCAGAAAACAGACGAAAACAGTTTTCACATAAAAAAAAAACCTACGCCGATTTTTTAGCGGAGTTATGTCCGATCGTAGTCGATAATACGTGAAATTTCCAAATGGTTTTATTTGGTTGACCAATGGCTGTATGTAAAAATTGTCAGAGGTAACCCTTTACTGTACCTGCCAATTACGCTTAGGACTTGCACATGCATATACAGAACCAAGCAACAATATATTGGCAAAAATCACGGTAATCAATTACTTGTCTTGTACGACATGTATATCTTGCTATAGAATTACGAGTTTTGATGCTGTAGCTTACATTGAATAATTGTCTCCCGATGCCAATAAGGAACTTCTTCACAAAAGTAACCTTTTGCAGTAACCTACATTCTGTAAGTATCGTTACATCGGTCGAAATATTTCACAGAATCCTTCGCAGCCGTTTCATGCCGATCGATCGTTTGGTATCCTGCCCTCTATTATAAAAATATCTGTCGGCCTCTGTTTCCCTTCCGCTAAACTATCTTGCGCTTAAATTACATTTCTATGAGTACGATGTACATGTGCCACCTATCTGCCGCTATTCTCGTACGCACGGACAAATTCTGCTCCGCAACATTTGCCTGCAGATGAATTATCTGAATTGACATTAACTTCCCGGCTGTGAAAATCACAGCCATCAAGATTGACGTTTCATTGTTAGCTGCTTCTATGTGGCTGGGTGTCGCGTCTACTCTACGAGACCCTGTTTACAACTGAACGAGAAAAAAAGGGGCGTCCGAACAGACAAGCCAATGTCTTTACACTGTTTTACAAGAACTGCCTGCCCAATATCGCAGCCCACTAGGTCGAATGGCTGGACCCCAGAACAACAACGACAGTCTTTAGTGAGGTGATCTAAACAGATTATGCAGCTGGAACAGTACAAAAAAACAGGCCTAATCACTTCTTGATTTTGACCCCGAATGAATAACTAAGCGTAATGCTGCAACAACTGTGCAAAACAAGCGTAAGGCTGGTGGCAGACTGGCAAGGAGTGTGTATCATTCACATGGCAAATGGCTGACTACGAATGGATCGAATCGGACCATTCTATGTGCATATAATCTTCAGCGGTAAGAAGGCAATGCGTTCCTGCACTTCATTCTATTTGGACGGCCGACGTATGGCTTTGACGTACAGAACAGTAAGCTGTAGCAAAACACATAAGTACGCTCACACACACACTAGTATGCGTGCAGTATAAAAGAGTAAATATAAAGATCAATTCGAACGGTCTTTCGAATTTATTCTACGCGGAAGTGTATCGCTTAAACCTTGTCGAACCCCGTAATTTTCAGTTGGCTATTCTTCTTTACGCTCCAGTGACCCATATCGGTTACTATATTTACTATAAATATATAAACAATATTTAATTGTTAGTGAGCAGGAAATGTGTTCAGCACGACAAGCTTCTACTTTACGGAAAATAAAGACACAGAAGGAGAGAGAGAGAGAGAGAGAGAGAGAGAGAGGAGTGGAGTGGAGGCAGGGGTTGGGGGGTCTAGATAGCACTTTCGTTAGCTGACACGTGGGAAGAAATTGTTCGACCGGTTCCTGGACGAGTACACAGCGATTAGAATAGCTCATACTGCTATTACCTAATTATTATTATAAACTAAAACAATTCATCTGCTGGACTTTTCTGTATTGTATAAGCGCTACATCAGCTCTACTGCAAAACGTCGATACATACCACGTTTAGGTTGATGAAACTAGAAAACGGTGTTAAGCCGCTCAAAATTGTAGCTTCTCTGTTACACGATAATCCTTATTTTTTGCGACTTATATCTTACGACTGAGTAACACCTTTTCCAGCTGCTAAGGGCATATAACTTGGCTCGTGCTCGCACGGCAGTATAGCACAGTATCTTTCCCTTAAATATCGTCGATTAATTGATGCACATGTTGCTAAGTCCCTTCGGCTCTTGCTTTTTTCCTGCGATCACTAACACGAGCCAGTGAGAAGCATACAAATGCTCCCCCGTTTCTGTGAACGAGTCTTATAGCTAATGATTACCTTATTTGTATGTGGGTAGGTAATTCACTGGTGTATTTAACGGCGTCCAGTTCTTTCGCAGCCTCGGCCGCTAGCAATGCGTCGAAGCTGGTTGACGACTATGACTATTTGTGAAGTGGAATATATAACCATCGAGAAGGAGCACAGAATGAATGTGTCACTCTCAACAAAACAGTCGTTTTCTATAGTATATTTCCGAAAACAATACGTCGACTGACGAAGATTCGGTGAAAGGCTCCTGGCAAACCTCAAAACGCCGGTGGACTACAGGAACATAGCAGGGATGCAGAAACAGCCGGGTGCTTCCAGCCGCAAACAAATATACACACGAAGGCACTACACTGTAAGAGTTTTACTTCGATGAACTTCACTGTTTGACGTCTATCGGAAATCGGCGACGGAAGATCTGTTGAAATCGTCGCTGATAGAGGGACCAATATAGCCACAGCAATTTGACGGACGGCTCTGATGAGCGTATTCTATTGTAGCTTATGCTATTAGCTATCGATGCGTCGACAGTCAGTTGCTCAGTCCTAAGAAGCCGCTGTCAGCGATGCACGTCATCATTGTTTTCGTATTTCTTTTTCCAACCGTCCGGACTTTTCTGTATTTTATAGGCTTTCTTTGTGGCTATGTGTATTTGTGCCTTGTTCCAAGTTGGATGTTATTATATGGGTTGTACCCTGTTCGTGCCCACGTGTTTGTTAAGACATCTGTCTTAACCTCTGACGACTACGTTACAGCGGGGTAGAAATGGAAACCTTTTGCTGGTTTACGGTCAGTTCAGTAATGAGTCAACAAGAAACAAGACGGAGAACCTACGGTAGCGGCCGTCGCCTGATCGGGCGTTTAACAGAACTTGCACCGATGTCCGCACATAACAGCTTAGATTTTAATCCGTCTCGTCCAGCCACGGTCCGTCGAGCAATCGTCGTCGTTATCCTCTGTTTCCTTTTTTCGCGTTCTCCCTCTGAACGGGTGTTCCAGTGTTCGTCTGGGTGTTCTCGTGCTCTGTTCGCACTGATTGACGGTGGCGACGGCGGCCTGCTATATGCGTTATTAGCTGTGGCCGTTTGCTGGCGCTCACTTGTGTTGTTTCCCAGCTGCTGCTCATTGGAGTGGTGGCGCTGCTGCTGCTGCTGCTGCTGCCTCCACCGGCCGCCTCATCCAACATCGCCAACGGTAGCAGCACAAACTATTCCCTTCTCCTCATCCTTCTCCTTGTTCGGCGCTATTCTGTTGTTGCTGATGCCTGGCTGGATTGCTCACTAGTATCTGCTCACAGTCTGCGCATGCGCGATCAGCCAACCCGTCCGTTCGGCTGGTGAGCAATACAAGCAAAAGGGACACAGACGGACTCTCACACACACAGTTAGAGCATCTACGAAAAAGAGGGGCACAGGGGAAACGCCATCCAACCAAAAGCAATAACAGCGCAACTGGGGATAGGCGAAGAGGTTGCTCTTCCGCACGGCGAAAACCGGACAACGTTGTCAACAGGCTGAGTCGCTCCTGGCAACTGAAATTGTAGGTTGCAGCTGCTAAACGTCAGGCAGCAATAAGGGTCTACAGCGTGGGAAAGATGTCCAGACTAGACACAGATTTATGATGCGTACAAACGGAGAGACACCTAAGATAAAACATACTGGCACGCATTCATAACGGAACCTTAATGGGCAGTCCTTTTCGGGAGAGGAGTTTTTGGAAAGTGGATGACCAAGGGATCAAGTAATTCTAAGGGATTTTTCGAACCAAGACTCGTCTCGACAGAGCCGTTGTTCAGATGGAAGACACGTTGCCGCTACACAGTTTAAATTAGGTGACTTAACTACCAGCTTATTTCGAAATGATTCATGTGATGATCTACTAAACAAGTTTTTAGTGAAAACCACAAACATGAGTCCATTTCATTCATACAAATGGTAATAAACACCGATGTCAACGTAGCCCTCTCGAGTAGAAGTTACAAAATACGATCATTATTAGTTGACGATGCGTGTGTATGCCGAACAGTCCAGTAGGCTTAGAGATGGTCAAGCTTACAGTTATAAAACACCAAACAACAATGATCACTAATCTAAAATAATTATTACGTAGTTTCGACCATGAAGATGGGATTTTTCTGACATGAAGTTTTTGTAAACAGGTTTTCTCATCAGGCAAGCTCCCTACCGAGAATCGGAATCAGAATCTACGTGGCTGATAATGTGAACTAAGGAATACCAACTATAATTGCATACTCAGGTCCTGAACACTTCAATCGGCTTATAGACATTGGCCCTAGCCAAAAAACCGAAAAGGTTTGCCATAGCAAAAAATTAAAAAACAAATATAAGGTGAGCCTAGGCCTAACAAGCAACGATGATT